CTAAAAATTCTGTTTTTTTTTTTTTTTTTTTTTTTTTTTGCGGAACCAGTGATTGAACTCAGGCCCTTGCGCCTGCCAGGCAAGCGCTTACTCTGTCAGGTAGTTTCAGATAGACACCTGTGTAACTAATTTGGTTATACTTGGGGGAAAACATGGGGGGGGGGAAGGGATTAAGTATAACCTCCAGCAGGGGATCTTAGAATCTGACTTTGACTTTAAATAATCTTTAACAACTTTTATAAGAAATCTTAGTGTGGAATCAGAAATTTCTTAATTAAAACTGACTTGTTTTTGTTTTTACTTTTGAGAGTTCTATGCATGGCTTTCCTGTGGTAAGTATTAATGTCTTGATGTACCCTGGATGTGTCCTTTCTGGTTAAAACATGCAGGAATTGTCACCTTGAAGGATTCAGTGCTGTCGAGAGTTTTCCTCATTTTTATTCTTAAGATGAAAAACTCTTCACTCCTTAATTGTGTATGCTACTGTTCCAAGTGGTCTTTGCATAGTGTGATGTTAGGGTAATAATTCGTTCTCTACCCTTTTTTTTTTTTGGCGGAACCGGGGATTGAACTCAGACCTTTACGCTTGCTAGGGAAGCGCTTATTCCACTGAGCCATCTCCCCGGCCCCAGTTCTCTACCCTTTTGTAGTTCGTGGTGGACATAAACCCTTTTGATAGAAGGCAGAAATATAAATGAGTTTAGTGAAATGTATTCCTCCTGCATACATGAGAGATGCTCAAGGAAGTCTTGAAGCGTAGGCCTTGAGTTGTATTAGACTGTGCGCTTAAATCTTGTCCTTCCTGAAATAAAGAATGGTGCAACGAAAGGCCTGTGTCGGAGAGGGGGAGCCTGAAGAGCAAGAGAAACAAGAGCAAGATTCACTGCTCATCCTTCTCTTTCTAGGCGGAAAGGGAGATACTCGTACAAATGGTTTCCCTTAGAGATGTAAATTTTTTTTATTTATTTATTTATGTGTGTGTGTGTGTGTGTGGCCAGCTCAGCCCACCAGGGGGTGGGGCTGGCTGGCATGTGGTGCTGGGGATTGAACCGTGGTCCCTTTGCTTTGCTAAGCTTGTTCTAAGTAGGTGCTTTAGACCACTGAGCCATCTCACCAGCCCCAGATGTAAATTTTTTATGAAAGGGTAATTTCTACTTTTTTCAAAACTTTTCCAGTCTCCTCTTTCTCACAATAATTAGCTTAGAATAATCTTTAGGGAAAAAAGACATATTTCCAATGGCATCTTCTAGTATTCTGCAGTCATTTTTAAGAGCATTTTTGCAGCCTGGAAAGAGAAAAAGGCTGTTATATTCTCCTTGAAATGGGGCTAAGCAAAGACACCTGTGAAAAGTGTTGAATGTATGATGGCTCCAAAAACAAATGCTGAAAAACAGCTAATATTTAATTTAGGCCCAACCATCCTATGTAGTCAGTATAAACCTTTCCATATTACAGATAAAATAAAGAGGGTTTGTTTTGTTTGCCTGCTGCATTGGGGAGCAAACCCAAGGCCCCTAGCACTGAGCTATACCCCTGCCCAATAGTGTTTTCACTTCGCCAAAGTCAGATAGCTAAGAGCTAGAAGCAATATGAGTTTAGTTTGTGTTTTTACAGACCCTTCAGACTTTCTTCTTTCATGTTGTCTCTCCACAACTACCAGAAGAGGTTCAATGCCAGCAAAGCCTAGTGTATTCATTTTTTTGCTGCTGCTTAAATTACTGTAACTGAACACAGTGGGTTCAGATGTTAGCAAGTGCAAAGCCAATAAGCACAAACAGGAGATAAAAGAGAAATTTGTTACTTGTAGCAAGGATTGAGAGCATTGTGCCTTGTGGAGACAGGTACATTCTAGAGCGTCCTTAGTTTGAGGTCATATATCACGTGTTCAAAAAAAATGACAGATACTAGGGGCCAGGGAGATGGCTCAGTGGAATAAGCGCTTCCCTGGCAAGCGCAAGGGCTTGAGTTCAATCCCCAGTTCCCCCCTCCCCCAAAAAAAAAAGAAGTCAGAATGACCTGATAGTTTTTCTGGTTCCTTGTTTCTCCAAAGGGTTTACCTGAACCAATAGCCACCAAAGATAGATAAAAGGTCAGCAGCTCTGCCCACCCTATATGTATACTTTGTCCCTAAGTGCGCTTGCCTAGGAACTAAGTGCGCTTTACCATAAACAGTGTAGAATAGCATTCATTTGTCTCATGTTTCTATGGGTCCAAATGCCCAAGTGGGCTTAGCTGGTTCTCTCCCTAGAGTCTCAAAATGAGGACATAGAGGAGGTGACCAGGGTGATTTTTTACTCAGAGACTGGGGAAGAATTTGCTTCCAAGCTCATCCAAGTGTTAGACAGAATCCAGTTCCTTTGTTCCTGTCACTCAGGAGCTACTCTTTTGCCAGAGGCACCCTGAATTCCTGCTCCTGTATCCTTCTCTATTTTCAAACCAGCAAGAATGTGTCATGTCCTTTTTTTTTCACATTTTAAAACTTTATTTGCATATTTAAAAAATTGTGCACTCCAGTAATTAAAATCATTTGAACAAAAAAATGGCACTCTGATGAAACTGCATTTTACAGCCCGCAGGACACCTTGGACCAGCTTGAATTTCACTCTAGACTTCACCATGCTCCCACCCAGCCTCTTCCTCCACCAACATGCAAGCTCTTCTCCTTCCCTGCCAGCCACACAGGCTGATGGGGGGGCAGGCGAGGCCTTCGTTGTCGGTAGTTCGGATGTGAAAGGGGCAGCACAGTCATTTAAACTTGATCCAATCTCTTTGCATCTTACAAAGTTAGACAGCTAAAAGAAGTAAAGTAGGAAGCCAATGCTTGTGGAATGTACAGTGCATACCGGCGACGCACGCCTCGTTAGGATTCGCCCGCTTGCTTCTCTTGTTCATTTGTTTCTTTCGAAGGCAGAGGATTTTTCTCGTGTGTTTCTATCTTCTTCAATTTCAACTTAACAAATTTCTCGATCTCAGCCATATCGGGTTTGTCAGACATGGTCGAGAGGAAGCGAGATGAGGTGCACGAGGAATCGAAGTCTGATCTCAGTGGCGAACGCGGAGTCTGTCATGTCCTTTTTATTCCAAACCATTCTGACTTCTCCTGCCATGTGATTAGATTAGATCCAACCAGGCATATGTTATTAAAGGAAATAAAGAGGAAAAAATTACAACTAAAAATATCTCCGGGATAGGTTGTAACTCAGTGGTAGAACATTCCGCTCACATGTATGAGGTCCTGGGTTCCACCCTCAGCACCAGAGAAGGACGGAAAGACAGTAATATTCAGTTAACTAATCAGAGCACTGTCTTCTTTTTTTCCTAGTAGAAACAATGTTTATTACCAGAACAAGAATAAAATTTAAAATTACTTATTTAAAACCACTGCCCACAGCAACTGTACTGAGAGTATCAAAATAGCTACAGTTTTTGCACTTGTGTTGTGCTGTGCCTCTGACAGAATATGACTATATGTGATAGACATTACCTTCAACTATTTAGCCAGCTATTAAAATTTGCTTAGTGCCAGCAAGATAGCTCAGTGGACTAAAGCACCTGCTTAGGCGAGCAGAGAGACTGAAGTTCCATCCCTGGAACCACATGCCAAGCCAGCTCCTACGCAAGAGCAGACTGAGCCCTGCCACAGAATCCGGGCATGGTGGCATAAGCCTGTAATCCCAGCACTGGGGAGGGTGTAAACGGGAGGATCACTACAAGTGCAAGCTGTGCAGTGAGACCCTATAGCAACCAAATACATTAAAAAATTTTTTTTAATTTTTTTTTTTTTACTGCTTATTTCCATGAAGAGCTGTTGTAAGACAACACAAGAGCTGGACCCACTAGCAGTCTTTCAGGGGCCTGTATAGAGCATGCCTTTGTAATGTGACAGAATAAAAATTAGGGAAATCTAGACAGCTTTGCATATTAGTCCCTAAGTACTTATGTGCTACAGCTGGGTGTTTTGTTTTTGCATTTAGTACAGGGGTACAGGGTCTATAAGGTTTCACTTTGTGGGTCCAACTCCTAGTGATTCTCCTGTTTTCAGCCTGCCAAGCACTGGGATTGTAGGCGCATGCCACCACGCCCAGTCTCAATGCTGTCTCAGCGCGCCCCAGGGGCAGGGCTGGCATGGCACAGCACACAGCACACCACTGCTCTGCCTAAGCAGGCGCTGTAGTCTGCTGACCTATCGGGCTGGCCCTACAGCTGTTTTTTTTTTTGTTTTTTTTTTTTTAATTTTATTTATTTGTGTGTGTGTGCGTGGCCAGCTCAGCCCACCAGGGGGCGAGGCTGGCTGGCATGTGGTGCTGGGGGATTGAACCGCAGTCCCAGTGCTTTGCTAAGCTTGATTCTAAGTAGGTGCTTTAGACCACTGAGCCATCTCACCAGCCCCCCTACAGCTGTTTTTTAAAATGTTTAATTTATAGCTCTGAAGAGCAACCCAGGCCTTCCATATACCAGGTCTGCTGCTGAACTCTAGCTTCAGGCTCTTCCCCCCCCCCCACCCCACTACATTTTTTGTAACAGTTTTATTAAGATATATTAACAGCATTTTATTTTTTATTTATTTATTTTTTTAAAGACTTTAGGCTATTTTTTTTATTTTATTTTAACATTTATTGTGTGTGTGTGTGTGTGTGTGTGGCCA